TGTTTGTACTCTGTCCGGACCAGTGTTCACGCTTGTAAAGAATAGCACCACCTGGGGGTGGACCCCAGTTGTGTGGAGTTTGAAGCTTATTAAAATTTAGGGCCTTAGAGTACAAAATTAGGTACAGAAAAATCAGCGTTTAATTAGAATGAGAAAAGAAGGGGAGTTAGAAGTTCTGATTGAAGTGTGAGAGACCTTGAAGCCTAACCTTGGTTAGTTAGCTTCATAGTAAGTTGGCTCATGAAGCCACCAGGAACTTGTTTTACAAATACGCCCCCGCGCATCCCTCCCCACCTTGCCTGTTTCTTCTCTAGCCCTCACTTCCTGCTCTCCAGCTGCAAATCCTTCCCATGGCAAATCCTGCTATTTTATCCTCTTGTATTACCATATTCCTCTATTTTTATCATAACTTTATCAGAACTTTGATTTAAATATTTTTGCATTACTGTTTGTCTAGCTGGAGACTCTAAAAAAATCCAGGAGGCACAGAACGGCGTCTGTTGTGTTTTGCTCATGGTTATAGTTCCAGGGCTAAGCAACCGGCCTGTAGCTGGAACTCAAATACTTATTGAATTGAATGAATTTGCTAAGAGGTAAAGAGGCTAGTGAGAACAAATTTGTGGGTTTTGTGCCCTAAAGAAAAATTCCACTGGGTAGAGAGCTTGAGGTCATCTGGGTCACCTGTATCCACTCTGAGGATTATCACCCCCAGAGCCTGCTTTTAATGTGAAAAATTGGTTCAAGTTTTGCAAAATCTCAGCTTAAAGGGAACTGACGTCAGCAATATTAACCCTTGCAGTTAGCCTTTGGGACCTTTGATTTGCAGTACTCTAGAGACCCCCTATTCCCATGCAGATAGAAGAAACACGTATCAAACAAGTGATTTGTGAGCTAGCTATCCTTTGGGACCTGTGGCTTTGTTCCCTCCAAAGGTGCAAATTGCATGCCCTTGAAGCTGGCCCTACACCTGTGACTACCTCCAATGAAAGGAAATCCCATTTTAACACTTTCTTTCTCCCCCTCCCGTTTGCTCACACCCAGAAGCTGTCTTACCCATTGCCCTCTCTAAGTTTCTCATTTCTGCTTTCCTCTACTCAAGCTCCTTCCCTGGAGGCCCCTAGTCTTTTGGTCCACTTCTCTCATCTAACCACTTCTCCAGACCAGTCTTCATCCCCCCAATCTTTGACTTCTGCATTAAAGATGCCTGGGACCCAGGCAGGCCACGACAATGCTCTCAGTGGCAGGTGGGGCAGAGGGGAGGCTGAGCAGGCAGTGATTACCTTCTCTCCAGCAAGCGGTGTTGGAGAGTGGGGCAGGGATGGAGAGAAAGCCAGGGACATTCACACAATAATTTTGGTCCCCATCACACACCTTTGGAAGGAATTCTATCATCAAAGAATAAAACAAAATGTATGAGAACTATTTTAGTTCAGGATTACTTTCTTTGTAAAATTAAAGCCAGTAGAATAGTGGCTTCTTTGAAGAATGTGCAGTTCATCTTTGTCATCTGAGTGTATTAAAGACAATGGTTGCATCTGAGTTCTGCCACCAGATCCCCACTGTTCTTAATAGTTTGCTTAGTTCACAGTTGATTCTATTTTGGTTTGGATTCCTTCCATATTACTCCTAATAGGAGATCTTTTAATACCTACCCACTTCATCTCTCATTTGCCTTCCTGGTAAGGACTGAAATATTTAGCCATTGAACAAATGGTTATTTTCTTTCAGTTTGCAGTGACCATTAAAGAGTTGGCCTTAAGGGAGATGAGAAATCATCCCAGTTTCTCCTGAGTCCTATCTTTCATTATGGTTGCATTTTTTTTCTTTTTTTTTTTTTATTTCAGGATATTATGGGGGTACAAACAATTTGTTTACATGTTATGACTTTGCCTCACCCAAGCCAGGATTAGAGGCATGCCCTTCCCCCATGCAGTGCTCACCACATCCATTAGTTGTGAGTTTACCCACCTACACCCCCCCAATCCCCAATGAATATTACTACCGTGTGAGCACTTTAGTGTTGATCAGTTAGTGCCAATTTTATGGTGCGTACATGCGGTGCTTATTCTTCCATTCTTGTGATACCTCACTTTGGAGGATGGGCACAAGCTCTATCCAGGAAAATATAAGAGGTGCTAGATCACCATTGTTTTTTGTAATTGAGTAGTATTCCATTGTATATATATATACCATATTTTATTAATCCACTCATGAATTGACGGGTACTTGGGTTGTTTCCACATCCTTCCAATAGTGAATTGTGCTGCCATAAACATTCGAGTGCGAATGTCTTTATTATAGAATGTCTTTTGTTCCTTTGGGTAGATGCCTAGTAGTGCTATTGCTGGATCAAATGGTATTTCTATTTTTAGCTCTTTGAGTTACCTCCAAATTCTTTTCCATAGGGGTTGTACTAATTTGCAGTCCCACCAGCAGTGTAAGAGTGAGTGTTCTTACCTCTCCACTTCCTTGCCAGCATTTGTTGTTTTGGGACTTTTTGATAAAGGCCATTCTCACTGGGGTTAGGTGATATCTCATTGTGGTTTTGATTTGCATTTCCCTGATGATTAGAGATGTTGAGCATTTTTTAATATGTTTTTGCCGGCCATTATTCTGTCTTTTGAATAGTTTCTGTTCATGTCCTTTGCCCATTTATTGATAGGGTTGTTTGATTTTTTTTGTTGTTGATTTTTTTTTGAGTTCTATATAGATTCTTGTTATCAGCCCTTTATCAGATGTGTACAAAGCAAGTATTCTCTCCCCTTCTGTAGGCTGTCTATTTGCTCTAATAGTTTCCTTGGTTGTGCAGAAGCTTCTTAATTTGATCAGGTCCCATTTATTTATTTTTGTTGCTGCTGTGATTGCTTTGGGGGTCGTCTTCATGAATTCTTTGCCTAGGCTGATGTCTGAAAGAGTCTTCCCTACATTTTCTTCTAGGATTCTTAAGGTTTCATGTCTTAGGTTTAAGTCTGTTATTCAGCGTGAACTGATTTTTGTAAGAGGTGAGAGGTAGGGATCCAGTTTCAATCTTCTGCGTGTAGTTATCCAGTTTCCCAGCACCATTTATTAAAAAGATTCTTTTCCCCAGTGTATATTTTTGTCTACTTTGTCAAAGATTAGATTACCATATGTGGATGGTTTCATTTCTGGGTTCTTAGAATCATATGGTTTTTGTTCTTTTATTTATGTGGTGAATTGCATTTATAGATTTGCGTATGTTGAACCAGCCTTGCATCTCTGGGATAAAGCCCACCTGGTCATGGTGGATTATTTTTTTGATATGCTGTTGGATTCGATTTGCTGAAATTTTGTTGAGGATTTTTGCATCTATATTCATGAGGGATATTGGTCTGTAGTTTTCTTTTTTTGTTGTGTCCTTTCCTGGCTTTGGTATCAAGGTGATAATTGGCTTCGTAGAATGAGTTGGGGAGGATTCCATCTTTCTCAATGTTGTGGAATAATTTCTGTAGTATAGGTATGAGTTCTTCTTTGTGTGTTTGCTAAAATTCGGGTGCGAACCTATCTGGTCCAGGACTTTTGCTTCTTGGAAGGTTTTTAATTGCTGCTCCAATTTCTGTGGTTGATATTGGTCTGTTCAGGGATTCTATTTCCTCCTGGTTGAACTTAGGGAGGTTGTATGTTTCCAGGAATTTGTCCATTTCCTCCTCATTATGTGGTTTTTGGGCAAATAGGTTTTTATAGTATTCAAAGATAATGTTTCGTATTTCTGTGGTATCTGTTGTAACCTCTCCTTTTTCATTTCTAATTGAGTTTATTAGAGTCCTTTCAATTTTGTTTATCTTTTCCAAAAACCAGCTTTTGGTTTTGTTGATCTTCTGTATAATTCTTTTGTTCTCAATTTCATTTAGTTCTGCTCTGATCTTAGTTATTTCTTTTCTTCTGCTAGGTTTGGAATTGATTTGCTCTTCCTTTTCCAGTTCCTTGAGACAGTTTGTTAGTTTGTTGATTTTTTGAGCTTTGTTTTTTGGATGTGCTGGGTTTGGCGGGCTGTCTCAATGAGCTGCCGGCTGTCCCCACTGCTTCCCTGTCCCACTGTCTCATGTTAGTCCAGTAGAGGGTCCTGCACTCTTTGTCTCACTCTGAGCCAGGTAACTCTTCGGTGGTTTCTGGGGGCAGAGCCTCCCATTCAGCATTCACCTCCTTTGTTCTGGTTCCGCTGACTGCCAGAGGCGAGGTGCCTGTCTCCAAACTCTCTCCTGCAGAAGGGTCCACTCAGACCAATCCCTCCCCCACCCAATGTGGACCTAGCACAGAGCACCGGGGAGTTCAAAATGTTTCCCGCTATTGTCTCTTATCCACATAGCCTGTCATCCTCTGCCACAACTTTGCAGTGACTTTAGGCGCTTCTCTGCCTGAGTGGATGTGGAGGTTGGTGGAGGAACAGTTGTCCTCCTCTGGGTCAGATCACACTATCCTGGCTGGCCGGTGGGCGCTGCCATCCCAAGCTCTACTCCCTATTGTATGTCTTGCACTCTCCATACTTTGTGGTCGATTCTCCAATTCACCTCTTTTTTCCCCAGTGCTGCTTGTCCCACGCTGCTTCTCTGCAGATTCACGATGCTGTTCTTGTGGGAGAGCGATCCACTCGTGTGTAGCTGTTCGCATTCTTCACCCCCTACTCTGGAAGCAGAGAGCCAGGAGGTCACCACTGATCTGCCATTTTTTCTCCTCCCATTTTTTCTTTTGGAGCGGATTCTCTAAACTCTCTAAACTTTGCTCATAACATCAATTACAAATGTAATTGTAATTCTGAACTCAAATATGAAGGCGTGGGAGTCCCCGAATGCAACTGAGAGTTCATTATAGTAAGATATAGCTATGCTAAATAGATAAAAATAGACTATATGAATACTGTGCTTGTTTTGCATGAAGAAATATCTATTTATGATGACAAGTCATTAACAGACAAAACATTTATGAAATGCTATGATAATAATGTGTAATTAATGTAACCAAGCATTTTGCTTTTTCATGTTTAGGAAATTATACAGTTCTGGCTTGCAAAGGGTGTTGATGGTTTTAGTTTCGATGCCGTTAAATTTCTTCTAGAAGCAACGCATCTGAGAGATGAGATCCAAATAAATAAGACTCAAAATCCGGTAAAGTTTGTTTTCAACTTTTTTTTTTTTTTTTTGCCTTTTCTGAAAATTCGTCAGTGTTTTCTTTTTTAGCTTGAGATGCCAATTATGAATATGAGTTTTGTCCTGTCTCTAAGAAGTACTTTCAATCGTTTTCTTTAGATACACAGGAGTTTCAAATGCACATTCCCAGATATTTCCTTCTACTAGTTCCTCCAAAGTGAGGGATCCCTTCAGGAGGCCTTCAGTGACAAGGGTTCTGTGGACACAGATAGTGTGGATTCTACCAAGGGCCACAAAATGGAGGACATTTACTCAATGCAATTTTTGTCATCTTACTCACGCTCAAGTGAGAAGGCCTAAATTCCACAGGCGCTCTTCTCATTGTTAAAGGACACATCTTTGGAAACGAAGGGAATTAACACTTGCTGAGTGTCTACGGTATGCTATGGGCTATTATGATATTTAATTTAACTCTTTCAATATCCTATGAGAAAGGTTTCATGGTCCTTGTTTAGCAAATCTTAGAGAGGTTATAGAGGTGATAAACAGGATTCCAAACCATGCCCATCTCACTACAGAATCTGAGCTCTTCAGGGTTCCATACCAGTGATTCCTGACTTTCTCCTGTGTCCCGAGTGAGACGGTATTCACATGCTACCCCACTCCTCCGGTTGACCACCATTCTATTTTCAATGGCCAAGTAGACAGAAGTCCTAAAGTATGTTCCAAAATGCTGGATTTGTATATTCGCACAATAGAATGTTGTTAGTAAAAAAAAAAATAATAATAATAATTACAGTGACATATAGCAATATAGGTAGATCTTAGTGATGTAACGCTTAGTGAAAATCTAAAATAATTACATATAACGTGATACCCTTCTAATAAAGTTAAAGAAAATGAAATCCATATGGTTAGATGGTTTATTATCAAGCTTCTAGCTTTTTTCCTGAGTAGTAGTTTATGGGTACTTGTAAGTTCATTAAAACAAATAAATTAACTACTAAAGAGAAGTTGGCCATGCAAAGGCCAATCATGAGAGCATGTCAAGAACCAAAGGTTATGATTAAGCTAATTTTTCTTGCACATGATTTCCAGTGAAAAGGAAAAATGAAGGAAAAAAAGGTGCTGTATTAGCCAGTTGTCCCAAATAGGAAGAACTGCTCCTTGGAAAATAAATCCTGAAATAACCTTGCTAATTATAATGAGAGGTCATAAAAGAGGAATATGTTTATAGTCAATGACACATGATCAGAACAATGGGTTTCGTGTGCTACCTGAAAAGAGCTTAAAGAATATGCAATTTCAGAAAAAGACCCATGATTCCAAAAAAAAACTTTCACTTGATTTAGCAAGGAAAATTCACTTATAAAAAAGGAGTCCAGAAGCAGGCACATTCCTGTAGTCCCTAGCTACTTGGATGCTAAGGCAGGAGGATTGCTTAAGCCCAGGAGTTGGAGTTGGAGCCCAGCCTGGGCAACATAGCAAGACCCTGTCTCTGGGGGGGGGAAAAAAAAAAGGAGTCCAACGAACAGATGGCCATGCAGGTTTGGGATGTCCAGCCAGTCCAGGCCATGTTCCATCCCAGGACCTACAACCTTGGTTTGTATGAGATGTAATCTTTTGCTTTTGATTCTAGGAGATCATTGTAATCCTAGGAAGGCACAGAAATGAATATCAGAAAAAATTACTGAAACCCTGAGAAACTATAACAGTAAGAATAAAGGATACAGATGGTAAAGAAACAAATTTAAATGCATGATATTAATATTTTTGTGAGCAGATAAAGTCATATAATAATGAGCTCTATAATCAGTAAGATCATCTCTTTTGTCTTTAAAAGCATCTGAAGCATTGACAATTAAATGTTCAGGAGGACTTTGTTAAATACATTTATAATCAATGCTTTGATGTCCCGAAAAATTTAGTTTGCTAAAATGGGTAAGTGGTAGTTAAATTAGAGAAAAAATGTTTGCTAGATTTATAAAGTTTAACAATTTAGGCATCAAATGAAGTAGTAATAGTGTGAATAGTCTTCTCCAACCACAACCACAAAACTATCTTTGAGCATGTGCCTTGCTTGGAATTAAGCCCTTTGAAGAGATGCCTATATTCACATAGAGCCAGCTGTGGGCATGTGACATGTGAAATGATGGTAACCATGCTGTCCTGGCTTTCAAAGGACACGGTCACCCACTACTCAGAGCTATACCACGACTTCACCACCACCCAGGTGGGAATGCACAACATCGTCCAGGGCTTTCGGCAGATCATGGACCAATACAGCAGGGAGCCTGGCAGATACAGGTAACCACAGAGCACGATTCCATTCTTCCCAGGCATGGTGTGTGGTCTGCAGTGTATACCTTTAATTCAGAGGTTAAAGTAATAATTTAACAAATCCGTATATGCCAGGGTCTGGTTGCATTCTCTCATGTTGCATAACTGCAGATTTTCAGTTTCCTCTTTTGTAAAATGATGCTAATCACAATACTTACTTCACAGGAGTTTTGTGAAAATTGAATTAATTAAAAACAAATATATTAGCTAAATGTTAGCCATGAACTATTATTATTTTTACCATTATTATTGGAGCTATAGTTCCTTGTACAATATGAATCCCTATGTTTCAACTAAACCGTAATATATATAAATACATTACAAAAATACATTTATATACATAATGTATATAAAACACATAAAATTGTACTTGGCACATAATAAATACTCAATAAAATTAACTATTGCTAAGTTTATATAGATCACTTAATAGAATCTACAGAAAATGGGTTAAGGAAATTTCCCTTCAGAGCTGGGTGTGGTGGTATACCCTTGTGATACCAGCTAGTCAGGAGTCTGAGGTAGGAGGACTGCTTGAGCCCAGGAGTTTGAGGCCAGCCTGGTTAACAGAGTAAGATCCTGTCTCAAAAAAAAAAAAAAAGAAAAAGGAAATTTCTCCTCCTTAAAGTAGGTACTCTGGTTACTATCTCCATTTTATAGATGAGGAAACTGAGGCTCTGAATATGCAGGCAATGGTCACACAGGTAGTAATGGCAGAGATGGAATTTGAACTGAAATGGGCTCCTCAGACTTACCCATTAATGTGCACAGCCTCAAATGCTAAAGACAGCATTGATTGGGGTCATTTCAGGCAAATGTGTCTTCCCCAAAGAGTGTGTGGTTTTCAGCAATCGAGAGTGCACACCAACAATAAGGCAAGACGTCATAAGGACTCAAATGCAAGGGGAGGTTCTTTTAGGGAAAACCCCTCACCTTATATTTGCAGACATGTACTTTAAATTTTAAATGGAGTGATGAGAATTGCTAAAGAAAGTCTTCATGGATGTTAACTGAGTTTTAGTCAGGTTTAGAAAGAAGAGAATAATACTGATTGAGATCCGAAAGTGTTTCTTAACTCTTAGGCATGACCTAGTATTAGGCCAATCTTTGGGTTCATTACAAATGAGAGATTGTCTAGGTGACCCAGCATGACATTTCTTGCCCATCTGGCTTGACTATGCTTTCTACTGACCCCTAAGCCTATAAGGTTGATAGTGTGCATTCAGGCTGCGGATGGTGGCTCACGCCTGTAATCCTAGCACTCTGGGAGGCTGAGGTGGCAGGATTGCTTGAGCTCAGGAGTTTGAGACCAGCTGCGCAAGAGCGAGACCCTGTCTCTAGCCAGGCGTGGTGATAAGTGCCTTTAGTTGGAGCTACTCAAGAGGCTGAGGCAGGATGATAGCTTGAGCCCAGGAATTTGAGGTTGCAGTGAGCTATGATGATACCACTGCACTCTAGCTGGGACAACAGAGTAAGACTCTGTCTCCAAACAACCAAAAAAAAAAGTGTGCATTCAGCCCCTACATCTTGTAAATGAAATATAAGCAGCTGCAAAGCATCTTCCCAGTCTTCTGACAGGCCCTAATGACATTGAACCCTGCCAACTCTCTTACAGGTTCATGGGGACGGAAGCCTATGCGGAGAGCATTGACAGAACCATGTTGTACTACGGGTTGCCATTTATCCAAGAAGCTGATTTTCCCTTCAACAATTACCTCACCATGCTAGACACTCTTTCTGGGAACAGTGTGTATGAGGTTATCACATCTTGGATGGAAAACATGCCAGAAGGAAAATGGCCTAACTGGATGGTAAGTCCTCATGCCCAGTGCAGCACGTTCAATGCAATCCCTATCAAAATCTCAGGAAAATTTTGAGAGGCATTACAATAAAAAACAGGATTTTAAAAAATCCCAGGAAAAGTAAGGAACCCATAATAGCTAAAACAATCTTGAAAAAATAACAAAATTGGAGGACTCCCACTTCTTCATTTCAAAACTTACAACAAAGCTACAGTAACCAATCAGGATGGTTCTGGCATAGGAACAGACATAGATGAACTTGAGAGTCTGGAAATATATTTATCATCAATTGATTTTCAACAAGGCAATGAAGGAAACAATAGTCTTTGATAGGGATTGCATTGAATCTGCATGTCACTTGTGGCAGTCACTTGTCGCCGTCACTCCCTCTTGACAATATTCAGTCTTCCAATCCACAAACGTGAATATATCTCCATTTATTTAGATCTTCTTTAATTTTTTTCAATGACATTTTGTATTTTTCAGTGTATAAGTCTTATACTTTTGGTTCAATTTATTTCTAAGTATTTTATTCTTTTGATGCCATTGTAAATAGAATTGTTTTTTTATTTTTATTTTTCATTTTGAAATGGGGTCTCACTATATCACCTAGGCTGGTCTTGAACTCCTCGGCTCAAGCAATTCTCCTTCCATCTCAGCCTCCTCAGTAGCTGGGATTACATGCACTTAAAAAAAAAAAATTAGAGACAGGGTCTTACTATGTTGCCCAGGCTGGTCTCAGACTCCTGGCTTTAAAGGTCCTCCTGCCTCAGCCTCTTGAGAGTCTGGGATTACAGGCCCATGCCACTACACCCAGCTGGTTTTTTAATTTTATTTTTGGATTGTTCATTATTAGTATATAAAAATACAATAGATCTGTATATATTGATCTTGAATCATGCAACATTGCTGAACTTGTTTATTAGTTTCTAATTATTTATTGTGAATTCCTGAGGAACTTTTTGTGGCTTTTAAAAGTTGTTTAAAGTATACGTAACATAAAGCTTATCATTTTAAACATTTAAAAATGTATAATTTGGTGGAAGTACATTCACAATGTTATATAACAATCACCACTATTCATTTCCAGAAATTTTCATCATCCTGAATAGAAAACCTATACCCACTAAACTCCCTATCTCCACTCTGATATCCTCCATTCTGTTTTCTGCCTCTATAAATTGCCTATTTTTACCTATCTTATTAAAAGTGGAATCATACAATATTTGTCCTTTTGTTTCTAGGTTATTTTACTTAACATAATGTTTTCAAGTTTCCTTCATATGAAAGCATGTATCAGAACGTCATTCCTTTTTATGGCTGAATAACATTCCATCGTACGTATATACCACATTTTGTCTATCCATTCATCTGTGGATGGACATTTAGTTTGTTTTCCTCTTTTGGCTACTGGAATAATGCCATGAATGTTATTCTACAAGTATCTGTTTGAGCCCCTGCTTTCAATTCTTTTGGCTATATACTTCAGAGTGGAGTTGCTAGTTCATATAGTACTTCTATGTTTAACTTCTTGAGCAACTGCCGAACTGTTTTCCACAGTGACATTCCCATTTTACATTCCCATCAGCAATGTATGAGGGTTCCAATTTCTCCACATCCTCGCCACCACTTGTTATTTTCTGTTTTGTTTTATAAAATTATACCCATCATAGTAGGTGTGAAGTGGTGTCTTGTTTCTTTTTCATTATTGAAGAATAGTTTTGCTGGATATCGAAATCTTGGTTCACAGTGTTTTTTTTCTTTTATCACTTTGAATATGTCATTCTATTGCTTTCTGGCCTCCATGGTTTCTCGTAAGTCAGTTGCTAATCTTATTGAGAATCCCTTGTATGTGATTTACCAGTTTTCTTTGTTCTTTTAAAGATTCTTTCTGTATCTCTTGACAGTTCAACTGGTATGTCTAGGTGTAGGCTTTAAAAATTTTCTCCTACTTGGAGTCCATTCAGGTTCTTAGATGTGCAGAATTGCCTTTCAGCCAATTTGGGAAGTTGTTGGCCATTTTTTTTTTTTTGAAATATTATTTCTGCCTCTCCTCCTTTCGAGATTCTCATTACACATGTGTTGGTATGCATGATGGTCTCAGGTCTCTGAGACTCTGTTCATTTTTCTTCATTCTGTTTTTTCTGGTTCTCAGACAAGATATTCTTAATTGATCTGTCTTCAAGTTTTCTGATTCTTTTGCCAGTTCAAATCTGTCAATCCCCTTTAGTGAATTTTTCATTTGTTATTGTAGTTTTCAACTCCAAAATTTCTATTATTCTTTTTCTTAATTTCTCTTTATTGATATTTGATGAGACATTGTT